TTACCGACGTACAAAAATACATATTCAGGTATATATACATATTTATATGTGTTGCGTAGTAAGTGAAATAGTAATAGCATTTTATAATAATATTTCGTAAAATAAATATTATGTTGGTAAAATATTTGAGATGCATTAATAAGGTATATTAAGTCAAAGAAATAATGTATAATGAAGAATATTCTAATTGTTATAGATATGGCCATCATTTGTTCAATGAACAGTAGTAGAAACGTTGTCATCAACACACATAATACGACACACACCTCCAACGATAGAAACATGTTTATGTTAAGTATAAAGTTACGCAAAGTAAGCGGCTTAGCCAATGAGAAAAACACAAACCACGTTAACATTAACAGTAGCAGTAGTAATGAAGTTACATTTTTACAAATTAGTTCAATTAACACATTAATAATTGCACTAAAATTAATCAAAATTATTCAAAAACCTATACAAATAATACAGGTTGAAAGCCAAAGAAACAAAAGAAAAATTATAAAACTAAAAAATAGAAGTAATGAGGTTACATTTTTATAAATACGTTCATTTAGCACATCTATATTCACACTAATATTAAAGAACTTTATTAACAAAGTTATACAAATAATACAGGTAAAATACCAAATGAATAGAAGAAAAATTATATAACTATAAAATAGAGGTAGTGAGGTTACATTTTTATAAATAAGTTCTATTATCACATTTATAATTACACTAAAATCAAACAAAATTTTTTGTGTTTTAACAAACCTATACAAAAAATACAGACAAAATGACATAGGAATAAAAGAAAAATTATATAACTAAAAAATAGTAGTAATGAGGTTATGTTTTTATAAATTGGTTCATTTAACACATTGATAATTACACTAAAACTAAACAAATTTATTAACAAACCTACGCAGATAATACAGGCGGAGTGCAAAAGATATAAAAGTAAAATTATATAATTTAAAAATAGAAGTAAAATTTTAAAACATTTATAAAAACATGTAAAAACTTTTTTTAATTGGCTATTTCGAACTATTTTCTGATAAAACACCAGAAATACGTTCAATATCAGCAATAGATCGCAATTGGTGTATTTTCGAACTATCACTCTGTCTAGCAAATATACGTCCCTCCTTCGTCCAAATGTATTTCCAATTAAGACCTCTCCCAATATCACGTGCTTTTTCAAATAATTGACGATTACTACTGGTAAGCCTCTCATTGAGATAAAAAGGTCTAGGTTCATGTGATGGGAGGCCAAGATCTGCTGTTGTAGCCCTACGGCGAACACGAGCATTTCGTAACAATTCGTCTCGAATAACTCGACGACAGAGGCGTACCACAATATGACGATGACGTGGGGGACGTCCCAGGGCTTGTGTTTTTAAATGAGAAAAGCGTTGACTATTTCCCACTCTACTGGCGCTAACTACGTCACTCTCTTCGAGCTGAGTGCCCAACTTGGCTGCTACCGCAACAACGATGTGTGGAACTGATTCATTGCTATTTTGCGGGATACCAGAAATCTCAAAGTCATTTAATAAAGCCTGTTGATCACGCTCATTAAGATTAACTTGTAACTGAGTTATGGTGTTTCGCAAATCCTGATATGTGGAAGGTAAAGTTTGGTTTTTTAAAAGACACAACTCAGCCGGTAGATTTTCATTTTCACTCTCTAAAAGAGATATTTTGTTACTGAAAGACGATATGTCACTTTTTACCTCTACTAGTTGAGCAGATAAAAAATCTGTAGTTTCCGTAAATTCTTTTTTGAGTTTAGCCACTGCTATATCAAACTCTTGCTTAATCTCCTTAGTAATTGAGCTACGCATATGATTTAATTTCGTATCAAGAAGGGAAGAAAGTTGCTCAAGGGAGATATTAATACATTTGTCTGACTGGCATTGTAACATACTACTGGTGATGATCGTATTAGGTTGCTCAGTAGATAGCGACTCATTTAAGTCCCTTTGACCCTGAATAATATCCTCACATGACATGTCAGTCTGTTTAAGCGTTGATTCGAATTGTTTTCTAACAGGTGTGTCGTCCTTAATACGGTGTGATGTTACATTCACACATGAAGGACAGCACCATGTACGCTTAATATCATGATTTTTATTCATAAACTGAGCCGTAATAATATTTAGGCATTTATAATGATACGTGCCCTTACAGCGTATACAAACTAATAATTCTTCGCGACGAATCACTTGAGTACATGCTAAGCATTTCATGGTTTTGTATTATTCGTATAAATAATTTATACAGATAGTAAGCAAATGAATTCAATAAGCAGGTACTCGGTAAATAAACTGACGAGCCAAATGTGACCCCCTTGCTTAGCGACAGGCCTTTAATTAGATGCTGGAGCGAGCAAGATAGACTATGCGCAAATACAGGTCAACGACCGATACAAGCAAAGAATAGGTGTCACACCTCTCAGCTGACATTCACGGTACAAACAAATGCACGTAATTAATGCACTTTATAATACACTTTGCACAATGTTGATAATATTAATTATATCTTTCTAAAACACAAACATTAAATAGCAAAATATATTGACTTTAAAAAAGTTTGAAATAACTTTACAAGCTGATTAGGAACAAAATAAAGTAACAGCTGACTGATAACCGTGTTTACACTTCAACGGATCGCGCGTGTTTTCTTGTATTAAATTTTGGCCCAAACCAAAATCAGAAAATAAGTCAAATTAAACGCAATAAAACCATTACCTAATAGTTTCATTCAATGTGTAAGTTTATGTAAATGTAATAAATCTTCATGTTCTTTAGTTCCCAAATTACCTATATTTTCCTGTTTACCAGTGGAAGACATATACTTTGTAATCCCAACAGCAGCTCTTTAGCTCTTCCAATAGCAATTGCGTTAATCGCTGTGCTTCACCAGTTGCCGTATACGCAGCATAAATTGTTAGATTTTGCCAATTTTTGTCCTTATGTTTTCTATCATATTTCATAAAGCTAAGACTTTTTTATAGAAAAAATAGTAACAAACGAGCACATAGTCCACCTGATGGTAAGTGGTTGCTGTGGCCCATAGACATCTACATCTATCATCGCATTACGAATCAAATTGCAGATGCGTCGTCACCCATAAGGACTAAGTTAGCTCAGAGGCCGGGGAAAGACCACACTCTAATAGAATATCAGCGTAAAGCTGTTTCGTATGGAGAGTGTAGAGAATCGGATACCCTTTTTACTGAAACCGAGTCATTTCATCTTAGTTATCAGAGGTCACAACGCATTTGGCCAAAGTATTCACTTACCATCAAGTGAACTGTTTATTTATTTATTTGCTTTGTATGTTTTCTACGTGGTAGAGCCATGCTGCAGCTATATTAGTAGTATAGTTGTAGCACGAACGGGTCGGCTCGACCGGGGAAGGATCACGCTCTCACAGAAAACCAGCGTAAAATAATAATATATAATAATAATATTCCACAACTATCACACAACGCCATCTAGTCCCAAGCTAAGCAGAGCTTGTGTTATGGGTACTAGACAACTAATAAACATACTTATATATTTCTAAATACATAAATATTATAGATAAATTACACCCAACACAGAACAAAATGATCGTGCTCATCACACAAACATTTGTCCTGGGTGGGAATCGAACCCACGACCTCCGGCATAGCAGTCAGGGTCACTAACCACTAGACCAACAGGCCTGTCAGCATAGCAGCAATAGCAGCTTAACGCTGGTGTGTTTCGTATGGTGAGTGTAGAGAATCAGAGACCCCTTTTACTGGCAAAGAGGCATTCCATCTTAGTCCTCACGGGTGACAACGCATCTGCATCTTGAGTCTTTATTGAGGATAGATGTAGATGTCTATGGGTCACAGTAACCACTTACCATCAGGTGGACTGTGTGCTCGTTTGTCACCCTATCCAATTAAAAAAAAGAGATATTATTAAATACTACGTATAACATGCGCTGATGGAGACATGCAAATTTGTTTATTTTTGGAAATTTTAGTTTAAAAATAATTCTGTAACATATGAAACAAATTATTATCATATGATTGAATTTGCAGCAACAAAACGATCCATCAAATTATATAAAGTTACGAAAAGTGTAATTAAAAAAAATTAATAATTAACGAATACAGAATATAAAATTAAACAATATTATATACCATATCAGTTAATAATAAAAATGTCAATTTAGTCCAGGAGGAACCAACGCGCACTCAGGGCAGACAACTGCTCCATAATCCTCTCAAAACTGAGAAGAGGCCAGTGCGTAGCAGTGTGCAATACGTAGGGTGTAATTTTACTTTACTTTATACTTAACACAAATTCAATAAGACAGAGCAGTATATGTACGTATATTTCATACATGGAAGAGTCATGCTGCAGCTATATTATGGTTGTAGCACGAATAGGTCGGCTCGACCAGGGAAGGAATACGCTCTCACAGAATACCAGCGTAAAATATCATCGAATGCTGCTGTGGTTCCTATGGTAAGTGTGGTGAGTGTAGATATGGAGACCGTTTTTACTGGATATGAGGTATTCCATCTAATTAGTCTTCAGAGGTGATAATGCAACTGCATTTTGATTCTTAATCGAGGATAGATGTAGATGTTTGATGGTGTTTAGCACTCACTTAGAATCAATTAGACTGTGTGCTCGCTCGTCACACTTATTTTACAAAAAATAAAGCTACACTTGTTTGTGGATTTAAAAGGAAATATCCCAGGGTATTAGGTGAGAGCAAACATTTTAATCTGCATACCAGTTGGCACAATTTGCAAAGGAATAAAATAATCCAACGCATTTGTCTTATAGCTGATGCTCTCAAAAAAAAAACTTAATATCTTAAGCTTTGTTTCAAAACGTAAATAAAGGTGATAATTAAATATGAGATAAAATAAATCTGACTTATTACCAAACATCACAGCGTTATATAAACGGAGCGCAACACAAATTAATTCATTCCAATTCAAAGTCCATGCCAAAGTCAGATCTAAAATGCTAATATATATTTTGATTGCGTTAGCAAGTATATGTTACTTCTGGTACTACTATTTGACAAAAACATTTAACTATTGGAAATCAAGAAATGTAGTCGGACCAAAACCGGTTCCACTGTTTGGCAATTTACAAGAATCTGCTTTGAGGAGAAAGAATATTGGAGTGGTTTTCAAAGAGATTTATGATGCGTATCCCAATGAGAAAGTAGTGGGAATGTTCAGGATGACAACTCCATGCTTACTACTTCGCGACCTGGATGTGATCAAGCATGTTCTGATAAAGGATTTCGATTACTTCTCTGATCGAGGAATTTCGTTCAGCGAGAAAGGATTGGGAAACAATTTATTCCATTCTAACAGTGATATGTGGCGGGTCTTGAGGAATCGATTTACGCCAGTTTTCACTTCCGGAAAACTTAAGAATATGGTTTATTTACTTAGCCAGCGCGGAGATAAGTTCATAGATTTTGTCGATGACATTTGTCAGAAGCAACAGGAACATGAAGTGAGCTCCTTAGTTCAAAAGTACACAATGGCGACTATCTGGGCATGTGCATTTGGGTTAGAGATCGACACAATTAGCAATACCCATAATTCCATATTCAAAAAGATCGATGACATTATACTCACACCGACATATATTGATGAGATAGACATGATGTTTCCAGGAGTTTTAAGAAAATTGAATATAGACCCTTTCCCCAAGGAAGTGTCAGAGTTCTTTGAGCGACTCGTTAAAAACGTAATAGAACAGAGAAATGGTAAACCAACAGATAGAAAAGATTTTATGGACTTGATTTTGGAATTGAGAGAAGAACATAAAATCCAAGGGCCAAAAAGAACCGGAGATGAAAATGAAATGACTTTAGAACTAACAGACGACATAATCGCTGCACAGGCATTTGTATTTTATGCAGCTGGCTATGAAACGAGTGCTAGCACAATGGCTTTCATGTTGTATGCGTTAGCGAAAAATCCCGACGTTCAAAATAAAGTGATCGCTGAAGTAGACAGAGTACTCGAAAAATACGATGGCAAGCTGTCATTCGAAGCACTCAACGATTTTAAATATTTGGAAAAAGTTTTCAGTGAGACCCTTAGGTTTTATCCCTTACTTGAGCCATTACAAAGGAATGCACAAAAGGATTACAAGATCCCCGGGATGAATGTGACGGTGAGAAAGGGTCAAATGGTACTCATATCGTCTTTAGGCATCCAGCACGATGAAAAACATTACCCGAACCCGGAAAAATTTGATCCCGAAAGATTTTCTTCTGAAAATTCAAGTGGCCGCCATATCTGTGCATACCTTCCATTCGGAACCGGTCCCCGAAACTGTATAGGTAAGTTTTTAGATCTTACATCATTCTCGCTAACTGCAAAAAGTTATTTGCTTTAAATAAGTATCTATTTTGGTCTTGTATTTAAGTTTGCGTTTGCGGCAAGAAACATTTTTATTTCTATAGTCTTACTTAAGTAAGCATTTGCAAGATGTGCATAAGTTTTAAAAATAAAAATTTGCGCAAAATTTGGAGCAGTGGAGACTTGTCAGAGCATACACATTCGCTGTTCACGCACCCAGCATTCAGGCTTTACTATTTTTCTTCTTCTTTTTCTTTATTTTATATGAAATGTCAGCAATGCTATTAACATTAGTAACATTCCGATTAGCTACTTCTGGTAAGCTTGTGTTAGGAGTGGTTCACGACAGTAGTCGAATGGCGGATTCGAACCCACGACCTTATTGAGTTCGCAGTTCGCACCCTACCATTAGGTTATTGTAAATTAACAATGCAGTTTTGCTTTTCGTTTGTTTTGTGCAAACTGCACAATATGACACAAGTTATACGTTTTCCTGCCCATCCATATTAACGACTCAAGCCAAAGCACTGTGCGCTTAAAATCAAAAAGTTCAATTTTTCTAATAAAAATGTTTAGTAAGAGTTATTACACTACTGTAGAGTATATGATCAGTAATGACCCTTCGGAATGAGGTGATTGCTACCATGATATTACTTAATGATTTCATACTAATTAAAAATATTATAAAGTATTCATGTATAAGATAATATAATGTATAAAAGGATTCAACTCGGCTGGGCAGCGTTCGGGAAATAACGACCCATTTTCTCGTCAGGTCAAAACCTGAAAACGTGATTGTAGCACCAGTGCGTGTTGCCGCTACTGCTGGTCGTATAAGGACGCTCAAAGTCGCTGAACGAGCTATGGAGAGGGCTTTGCTCGGGATTTCTTTGCGTGATAAACTTAGAAATGAGAATATCCACAATAGAACTAGTGACCCACGAAGCCCAATGGATTAGTAAGCTAAAGAGGCAATGAGCCGACTATAAAGCTCGGAGAACCGACAACCGATGGATAAATTCTCGAATGGTAGCCTCGTACGTAGTGTAGGGCGACCCCCCACCAGATGAAGTGACAACCTGGTAAGAAATGCAGGAAGTCAATGGATGCAGATGGCTCAAGTGCTTTGTGGCATTCCTTGGGGAAGGCCTATTCTCAGCAGTGGACTTGTAAATGGCTGTAATGATGATGATGATGATGATTATAATGTAAAAGATTTTTATTTTTTTAAAGACAGGGCAAAGGTTTTTTTCCCAACCAGTGGGAAAGCCTAAATGACTTTCAATAGTTATTCATGTAATCTATATTGAATAAAAATAATTCCATTCTATTCTATTCTTACAAAAGTTACACACAGCTATGCCGGTGGACAGACTAACTAATCTATAGTTTATTACGTGCACTGTTAGAGTTTCGCACAAGATGTTTTTGCACAAAAGTACTGTACACAAAAATTTAAAGAACAAGTTGTAAAGTAAAAAATTGTGTACAACCGACTTCAGTATAAATGAAATGAGAACATCATCAATGTAGTCGAACTACTGGTCAGATCTTGATCAAATTTATACCACTTGAAAAGCACCACCACATGAAAAGCTTTTAAATAAAAGAGAATCATCAAAATCAGTTCACCTAGAAAAAAGTTATGAGGTTACACAAATAAAAAAAATCAGTTGAATTGAGAACCTCCTCCTTTTTTTGAAGTCGGTTGAAAAGGGTGACAAATGAGCACATAGATCACCTGATAGTAAGTGGGTGATGTAGCCTACAGACCTCTACATCCATCTTTGATTAAGTATCTTAAAGCAGATGCGTTGTCACCTCTGAAGCCTGAGACATAATGCCTCGTTGTCTGTAAAAAGTGTCTCCTGCTCTCTACACTCACCAGTATTCTGTAAAATCGTGGTACTCAGCAGTCTTTCTGTAATTTTGGCTTATCGTTTGTAACCTTGATGTTTTTTGTTTCACAGGTATGCGGTTTGCTAAATTACAATCATCGGTTGGTTTAGCGAAGTTTTTTTCGAAGTTTCGAGTTGAACCATCAAAAAGAACCTTGCCAGCCATGAGGTTCGCCCCTCGAAGATTTATCATGGCTCCTGAAGGTGGAATTTATTTAAATATCATTCCGAGAAACATTTGAATATACTATAAAAGACTGGTACATGAAGCAACCAGAAACTGGTAATTGCTTATTACATTACAAGAATATAAAAAGTGTTATTATTTTAAATTTAATGTGATAAAATTATACTGACTGTATTGTCGGATAATTTACATTTGCAATACTTATGTGATTTTGTTAATTGTATAATTGTACCTTGAAATGAACTTGAAATTGTTAATTGCAATTTTAAGTGCTGATAAACCATGAGCTCGACGGTATAGGAAAACGTCGTAGAAACGTCTGAGACTTTCAGAAATTTAATAAATCCAGGATATTTTCAGTCTGCGACATGCATCAGCAGCGCAATGGAATCTTTCCTGAATCCTCTCGGAGATGAGATGAGACCCCAGTTTCCGGCAGAAGAACCTTAGTCTGTAACTTTTACTTTATTTTAAATTTATTGTTTACTGATACCGTAACAGCCTATTAAGTCCACTGCTGAACATAGGCCTTCCTTATTGTTTCATAGATGCCACGCTTGGCAAGCGGGCTGGCAAATGCAGTTTATTTTTATTTTTAGTCGTTATTAGGAATCTCCTCATCTCCTGATTTGTTTCCCTCTGTCGCCTCCTACGACACCCACGGAATGATATGCGGTAGTGGATATTCTTACACCGTCATTTGTCATTGGCAAATATATCATTTCCCGTGTCAATGTATTTAAAGCATATGGTGACAAACGAGCACACAGTCCACCTGATGGTAAGTGGATACTGTGGCCTGTAGATATTTACACTTATCCTCAATTAAGAAATAAAATGCAGATGCGTTGTCACCCCTTTGACGATTAAGATGGAATATCTTGTTTCCAGTATAAGGGTCTTCGGTTCTATACACTCACCATATGAGACACAGCAGTATTAAGCTACCCCGGTCGAGCCGACCCATTCGTGCTACAACCATAATATAGCTGCAGCGTGGCTCTACCACGTAAAAAGTTAAAGTGATATGCTTACTTGTAAAAAAATTATCTGCAATCGTATGCTCTGTGACTTTCACAATGGCAGTTGCTATCAAAAACATGCGATTTTTGCCCAAGTGCATTACGGTTCATCGACAGAAATAGTATAAAGTATGAACAGCGCCCCTGGTATTTGATAAGGTTGCTATAAAGAATAAATGAATATAAATAAATTGATTTCTCATTGTCACTAATATGTTTGTGAGATATATTTGTACTGTACTTAATTACACTTAATACTGTACTTAATTATTTATTTGTAGTAAATTTACAAAATAATTCGACAACAAATTGGGTATCTAATGTTTGATGAGTATCATAGATATATAAATGATATAATAAGATGAATAATAATTAAAAATTAAAAATGTTGTATAGCCGACTTCAATATAAGTTATTAAGAATAACTCAAAAACTATTGGTCTGACCTTGATCAAATTCATATGGGACTACACGAGATGTATCAGCTTTCAAATAAAAAAATAATCATCGAAATCGGTTCACCCATTAAACAGTTGTGAGGTAACACACATAAAAAAACATACAGTCTAATTGAGTACCGTCTCCTTTTTGGAAGTCGGCAGAAAATGAGTCTTCATTGTTGCGTCATAGTGCTTTGTGTTTATGGTCACGTACTCAATGTCTAACAGTCACTAATGGAACGAAATGGGGTGATACATTCGGCCATTTTATATGTAAGGGTATGCCCTTTTAACTTTTGGTATATACTGTTAAAATTCCTTTAAGAAAATGTTGAGTTAAGAGTAACATTGTTAGAAATAATAATAATAAAATTAGAATGAACACCTTTTTGATTTGCCGGTTTACTGCTGTCGCGTTGTGTTTCTAAGTGGTTTCGTTGACTCAAATTGGTTATGTTTGAAGACTGTTTACAGCATTTTTATGGTTAGATTATTGAAGATGCCTAAAGGTTGTACATATAAGTTATTTAAAATATGTAATTAGGTTAAAAGTTTACTCATTCGTATGGTTAAATCACTTGATAACGTACTTAGTAATGCACTTAACTTTAATTTGGAGTTAGAATTTGATAACTTGATGCTGTGTAAAAAAAAAGTGTTAAAAATATTTAAATGTGCTACGCATTATGCTGACAGACGAACTTACCACTGCGCCCTCGAATAGAATAAAAAATAATTTTAATTTAAATTTTTTTATAGAATTATGGTGACAAGCGAACACAAGTCCACCTGATGGTGAGTAGTTGCTGCGGCTCATAGACATCTACATCCATCCTCAACTACAATTCAAAATGCATATGCGTGCATATACGTCGCCCGTGAGGACTAAGATAGAATGCCCCGTTTTTAGTAAAAGGAGTCTCCGGTCCCCTACACTCACCATATGAAACACAACAGAATTTAGCTGCTAATTTACGATGGTATTCTGTGAGAGCGTGGTCTTTCCCTGGTCGAGCCGACCCATTCATGCTACAACTATACTACTGCAGTTTAATGCTGCTGTGTTTCGTGTGGTGAGTGTAGAGAACCGAAGACCCTTTTTAGCTGCAGCATGGCTCTGTCGTGTATAATAAGATTATTACATTATACTTATAGAAAGTATTTTTAGTAAATTTAGTGCTACCCGTGCTACAAAACATATATTAGTACAGGGTTACCGTGCAAGGCCGGGGCAGATCGCCAAAGAGTATAAAATGTTTACCAAAATGAACGGGTCACTAGTTATTTTCAAGTTGATTTCGTTAGTTATTTAATATATGCAAATATTCTGTTAAATCTTTGATGTTTGAATATTTTAATTTAAATATTTATATTTTTTTAATTAGAAATATTTATAATATTTTTTTCATTGCGTATGCATTCCTCGAATTCAAAGGTTACGCAACTCGGTCACAACAAATCAGGTTCATGATCAAAACAACATTAATATTAAGAGTAAACAAAAATGAATAGGCCTAATAATATTATTGAGTATTTCAATACGTATAAATAAAAATATCCGGTATAAATGTTGAATAAAACAGTTCTTTTTTTAAATATCTTCATTCAACATGTATTGTTCGCGTAAATATACGAAATGATTAATCAGTAAAAATTCAAGAAATAATTATTTGGTAAAAATAACAAATTAATTAAAAATGTTTATCGTCGCCGTCCGTTAGCCTATGGTTCAAAATTAGTATGTGACTCAAATATCTACAAAACGACTTGATATTGACAAAATGAGTAAATATTTTTTCCAATGTCTTCAAAAACATACAAAGATGATTTCTTTCGAACATCATTTTTGTACTCTTCTTTTTTCATATAACAAATCGTTACAGCTAAAACCAGCAGTTTTACACCATGTACGAGTATATAAACTTTCCTTATGTATTTACCCGAATGCCCCAGAAGAAGGGTAATTTTTTCGAGAGTATAGACATACATAGTAAAATTATTGTGGAAGTAAGAGAGGGTATAATTTGTTTCATCTTTTTTTTTTACGGGATTAAGTTTTTTTAGTTACTGTTTTAACTATTAATCTTGTTGCTGTATATTTTGTTAAAGTGGATATCACTTATGGATTTTACATATAATAAAGTGTTAAGAGAATTACTATGATTACAGACTGTGAGATTAATTAATTTTTACTATAATTAAAACGGTGAAACCAGTTACATTATTAGTGACAACATACTCATTCTTATCGCTCACAAAACTTCAGGCATTCCGACAATATTACCGTACATTAATCCGCAAACAGGCCACATTCAGGATTTGTGTCCAGAGCATTAATTGCGGTGAGGACACGGAGTATAGGTTAGTGGCCACGCGCAACATGCGTGCCCATGGTACGGCAAAAAATTTATGCTTGCGATTACAATATTAGTTATTTGGTACAAAAAATCGAGACAGTTCGGCACTCAGGTCTAGAGCGTCTATCTTTCCGCGAATTATTTTACACGCCATTGCAATGAGCTCAAAGTACCAAGGAGAAATTTTGTGAAAAATAAATACCGATAGTATCTATATTTATATCCCACTAAAGTATTAAAAAAGGCTGTAGCCGGGTGGGAAAGGGGAGATCTCCCGCCGGGCAAGGTGTTCTGCCCGGGGAGCGGCCAACGCTCCGATTGGTAGTTCGGAGCTATTCTATATATACTGCTTTAACTTCGGAACTTTGTTAGCGTGATTTAGGCTTCGATGTGTTTTGCATGTGGCGCGACGACAGCGCCGCCACATCACCCCCCTGCTCAGACCGGAGGTCGATAATGCAGTCAGTGCCAGGGATTGCCTTGTAGTCTGCGGTGAGTCGAGAAGAAGGCAAGTAATCTGCGAGAGTGCCGTGAAGCAGAGGCGAGCAGTAAGGCTCAGAGCCGTGCCGAACACTGTAGCGCAAAGAGTAGCTTGAAGGAACAGGAAGCATTATTATTCCAGTGCTGCGATGAACCTATGTAAAGCTAGATGGCTTGCAGAATGTGAAGACTGCAGACAATATCTGATCGGGAGCGAATGAATGGGGTAGTTGAGGATGATGAAGGTTTGAAGGTGTAGTTTCCGCAGGTTTGTTGGCTGCGTGTGCATATCACGTCGGTTGGTCACCAGCGTAGCCGGGTGGAAGGAAAAGGGGAGATCTCCCGCCGGGCAAGGTGTTCTGCCCGGGGAGCGGCCAACGCTCCGATTGGTAGTTCGGAGCTATTCTATATATACTGCTTTAACTTCGGAACTTTGTTAGCGCGATTTAGGCCTTATTTGTATTTGTGGCGCGACGACATCGCCTCCACAAGGCCTTTTGGACATTTTCCAAAACAAGAATATAAGTACTTTTATACGGCTTCCAAACACAACAGTTACTTTCTTCTTTCGAGAGCACCAGAGCACTGAATATTAAGCGTGTTACGCTATCGTTACGAAACATTTCTTTAGCATTTCTGAGAACGAATCCCAAGCGTTTGTATAATTCCTTAGCTAACGTTATTATGACGATCAAGAACACAGCGCTTGAACTTATTACTTCATATTTAAATAATAGAATGCAGAAAGTAGAAAAA